AACTGTTACTTTTATTACAATGTATAATGGAATAAATGAACATGTAACCAGAAAAACACTAACGTTAGTGATTGCAAAACACCTCATGACAAGAGGTCATAACCTTGAGTCTATCTCATCTTTCAAACCAACGTTATACAGACCAAGGTGAATCAATTAAAAGGTTGTTGCTAATTCGATCGCTTTGCTCAATTTTATGCGCACCAAAGTTGTTCATGCAATCAATCCAGTAACCTTGGAGTTGACATTTCACATCGACTTTTGGTAATCTTTGTTTGCATTTATAATTTCGGTCCACATGACTGATCAAATAAATGTGTTACATTGATGCCAGTATGTTTTACATTGAGGAGATTAACCCAAATGTTAGCTCTGCATAACGTTTCTCCTCTGCTGTGTCTACCAAGCCTTTTATTAATTGATAAGGTCAACTGGGTCTCCGACACTAGTGTCTTCAGGACCAGTGAACGATCAAATCTTGAAATCTGGCCACAGAAAAAATACACCGCAGGACCTAATTGCCCTATCCAACATACAAATTGCCTCACACTAGCCTAACTGCGACATAATTTCACTATAAGGCCTGCAAACTTCCAGTCAAGTGAATTATCAAGTACTTATTTATGACAGACACTTCAATTTAAAGGTATCGAAATAGACACAAACAGGGGACATGAGCCGAGAAAAAGTAGTTACAAACATTGTAGCAAAATACTCTTAGTGTGGTCAAAAAATTCTCAAATTAAACGCACCATCCAAAATCAAATCGCGTTTTTCCATGAAGAACAGCGTACTATAAGACCGACCATTTCTATTCACGCCCAAGAAAAGGGTCATAGACCAATAAGCCTATCTATCAAGGTATTATTTTCAAATAAAACTATACAATTGATTTCAAAGTTAGAACATATTTAGTCTCATGATCCACCGTGTTTGTAGCAGACAAAAATATGAGCAGCACTCTGACGATAAAAAGTTTGCTCATTCCTTCAGCTGCAGTCAACCGTTGCCGGAACACAGCTAACCCGCAAACCATTTTTTTAGTTGTAGATGTTAACTGCGGTGTAATATGTGCTGTTCCATTTGCGTTTCCAGCTCTAATTGAAATGTTGTTCCCCCTACAATATCTTTCCTGATTTGTCTGTTCATCAAACTTAGTACCATATAATTTAGCGGTGATAGCCTTATTTACAGTTTTAGATGTACTTTACCAACGGAATTCAGTTTTGATCTTGTCAGTTTCACACTGGTGTTGGGATTTGGCCTAAATTTTCCGTAAACTGAAAATATATGCTTGTACAGCTGGTTTAATGCATTTAATTATCATCCTCCTAACTTAGCTCGTTTTCATGTATGTTCAAATAGAAATTTACTCCCCGGAATTCTCGGAATTAAATTGGCAGTAAGAATTTTTCTTATGTAAGGATATACTTTGAAAAGAATAAACCCCATTATTAGGAACCATGATGTACATAGTAGTTTAAAAGAAAAAAAATACAGGCCAAAAGCCGTTATTATTGTAGTAAATCGAAATATGAACGGCCAGTACAGCGAACCTTTATACAACGTTTATCAAAAATCAGGAAGTGCCCCTTGGTATCGGTGAATAGGCGTCAGTTTGCAGAATCTATCAGCAAGGCAAAGGGAATACCAACTAAGAGATCATTTTTGTAATGCAATNTAACTGCAAGGAATATTGCTTTGCAACTGTCCATCTATTAGCTGGTGATCTGTAGTCTCATATCATGGCATAATTTACAGTAAAGCGTATGGCCTATGGTTTCAAACCGCCCCCTCCCTAAACAAAAGGGAATGAAGTAAATCAAACGTCATCCTGTACGCGATTAAACTATCCCAACTTGGGTGGGCCAAGCCTGATTCCCTTAATCCGAGATTTATGCTTAGGCCAACTAATTATGGCACTGAAGGCATGGTCAATTTTCAACGCAGTGTATTTTGCAAATAAACATGTTGCGTTAAAAAAGCAAGCCAACTGAACGATGGAACACCGGGCAAACATCAGGTGAACTTCGCAAGTAACTCAAGTCAATTGGATTCAATTTATGACTGACAAAAGAAAGATTTTTAAAGTCAAATGTATACCAGATGATTTCATTTCCGGGAAGACAACTCCAGTTTTGTTTGTTTCGAAGCCGCTTAAGAAACATGTGTAGGTAGCTGGCATGTTACCCTAAATGAATATCCTCTCCTACTTTATAATAAATAATCAGATCCACGAAGAACCAGATCCGTGAATTGTCTCAGGGACTACCATCAGTCTATATTTATATAAACAGTGTAGGAAAACGATTTATGCTTAACAAGCTGAAGACGCGCGAGTGAGTTGCTAATGTGTTCTATTGGTAGTTGTGCAAATATCTTTTGGTTGGAAAGCTATCATACACGAATTATCAAATTGACTATAAGGATAATCATTATTACCAGTAGGTTAAAGCGTAATCTCAAGGGTAACAACGCATTTTCGTGTTACCAACGGCTTATTTTTCATTGAGTGCGCGTACTATCAAACGTGTGAAGTTCCAGGTGTGACTATGAGATGAGGCGTGTTAGAATAATGTGTGCGAAATAACAAAGATGACGGTTTTTCACCTCAATCTGCAAGCATCTATTTTGAAAAGATTGTATTTTAAGGAAGTTAGAGAAACCTTTGGGGTGATACAAAATAACATCACGCAATAGATCAACAATGCGGATAGTAAGATAGGTTGTTTTAGATAGGATTGGGCAAACACCAACCAAACTAAGGAAGTCAGTTATCACCTTAAATCTTCACCTGTTTAGTACTAACGGTGCAAACTGCGAAAAATAATTCATCTGGTTGAGATAAATTTGTGGTTGTATGAAAATGCAGGTGAAATTCATAAACATATTATACGCACAACACCTCGAAAAATAAGCCAGTGTTTTGTTCTGAACCAGACGTGCACTACTTCCCCTAAACCAAAAGCATTAAACAGCTTCCGTGCACAACGGGAACACCATCGAACGATTTTAATTTTTTGTAAAATAGTGTGATCAAAATCAAACGTGTCACGACTGTCTTCCAAATATCATAAACTAGACAAAGAATGCCAAATGCCAAGATAAATAACATACAAGAGTAAATTTCAGATTTTAAAATATCCCTCTTGTGGATATGTAACTGATTATCTGATCTATCTGAAGTGAACGAAAAAATGAAAGTGATATGATTGAATGACAGCAAAGAGCTCTTCAAGGTGAACATGCAATAGACCCGATCAGAAAAACTCACCTTTATTCGAAATGGATGTGCCTTCGAGCCCAATCTGGCTACCAGCCGTTTTTGGGCATAGGAATGAGGGAATCCATCAATGAGTATCTCTTCATAGCTATTGGAACTGCCTGTAGGACATTCGGGAGTTTGCACTTCGGTGAAACGTTCCTCCTCATTTGGTGTCATTTCCTTCGATCGTTGACGTCTCCAACTGCGAGCGGTTTTGCGTTTGGTTACACTTGATGGTTCGGCAGTCTCTGGCCATATTTGACGAGTACAAAGAAGTAGGTCTTTCTGAAATGTCAAACCCAATACATCCAAATCCTCACGACCGTAGCGACAGCCGCATGTGATCATCAGATGAACTTGTTGGCCTTTCAGTCCTTTTGTGTCAAAGCATAGCACACCATCTGGGAGTGCAGAGAATGAGAATTATATCAAACGGGTGTAATTGTTTTGGACTCGTGTGGGCTTTGTTCTCTGTAAGAAATTTTTTTATCTGTATTTAAACTTCGTTCCCCTATAATAATTCCTTTCAAGAATTCGGATGATCGCTTTTTTCGGTTGTTCCTGTTACAATTAATTATTATGTCATACCTAAAATCTGGTCGATGATTAATTTTCATGTACTTGTTTCTGGAGCAATATATATAACCAAAGCATGCTCACCGAAATATTAAAACTATGCAATATACCGACATAGAGGGTACCATCTGATGCCACTTTTGCGCACCAGGTAATGGTTTTTTGTGTCTATAATTGCATGTACCAAGCGGATTTGCACCGCAAAAACACATCATTAAACTAATTAGGTTTTCTTCTTTTCATTTTATTTCCTTTTATTGAATGCGCAAAGATACAATTTTTCAGGAAGGGGGAAGCGGCCAATCAAAGGGCTGCCATACAATACACAAATGGAGAAAGTCAGGCGGTTGTGGTGTGATTCGAACACTCGTCCTCCGGGGTGATAATTGGTGACGTTACCACCGGACCACCACCACCCGGTTAGCTTACATATATCAGTTTCCTCGGTTCAATCTTAAGGCTAACATTCCCATATGCTCTCATCGTTTACAAACGCAGGATATCAACCCTAAAATAGTAAATGTATTAGGAAATCTAGTTTTGGAATGGAAGGACCTGTGTGTGAAGGCGTGGCTTCATCAATTTCGTTGAAAACCAGGCTAGCAATGAGTAGAGTTTACATGCTTCTGAAGAGACAGTCTTTATGGTGAGAGAACGATTTTCAACCAGTTTTTCAGAAGAATAGAACAAAACGAAGAACCCGTTCCTAGGGTTTATCTTGTGACCAATTTTGACCAAATCCAGTGAAATGACTAAGGCTCATCCACAAGAAGTCGGATGTGGGTTTTGGTTCCATTCTGTGGTTTTCTTCACGGGACTTATAACTTGCGACTGATCCCCGAACAGTAAAACAGGTGCATCCGTCTACTTCTGGGATAATTTCTTCTGTAGAAATCCATATCTATAATGTGAAAATAAGTGAGTGCTCAAATATCTACAATTTCGTTATCCTAATATGTTTTTGTCTCTCAGTCCCTGTGAATTCTCATAATTCCAGATAATCGTAATTATTTTAAACAGGATCTGGACCCTTAAGAGTTTAGGGTTTTTAATTTTTACGTGCAACTCCGGAGGACGGATAAATGTAAGACAATTTTGATGAGTCCCGATAAGGAGGAAACAGTTATTCATATAGATTAGTAGTGGATACTTTCAAGTGTGAATTTGTACTGACATAAAAAAATTGTTGTGCATTTCAGTATGGTGGCGGTTTCTTTTTTAAAGTTGAGTTAGTGGCTATCGTCTTGGTATATGTAGTAAGCTTAAAATAAAATGTCCTGCTATGCATGTACAAACGTTTGCATGTATTGTGATCTCGGATTCTTTGAAATTAATACTAAGAGACTATTGCGAAACAAACAGTTTGCTTAACAACAAAATGTAATCACGATAAAGTTTACGATAATTTCCAAAGAACTAGTTCAAACGGTTGACTAGGAGCCTTGAAAAAGTGTGCCGACATTTACATCTACACCGTGGAAATATACGCTCAGTAAATACGGAGTTCTTTCACAATTTTTCAACAATCTTTAGGTTCTAAAACACAAGTAAACTAAAACTAAATCTGTCAAACTTGATGAATGTAAAATCTTGAAACATGTAGCGAGATACCCCTTCAATACGTTAATACTAAAGCAATTTTGAAGACGCAAGCCTCTACGAAATGAGTAGTAAACGTTTTTTCAATAATCAAAACCGTGTACGAAATCTCAAGGTTTTGTTCATCTGAATAAGCAGTGACATTTGCTTATTATGCAGCAAAATCACATCGAAGCAATCGCACTGTGCAAATCGATATCTCTCTCTAGCACAATGAAATACCAGTCCGACGGATAAATTCAGAACATATTGTTTGAAAATTCACACTTCTATCATAAAACTAACGAATTAGAAAACGGGTCGGCAGAAACCTGTGTTGTGACTATCATGATGCAAACCTGTTGTACTGCATTGAGATTGAACTGGAGAACATTGAAGCCATATATATTCCAGCTGTTTCTTTATGTGAGAAACAAGCAAAGTTGCACCAATGACCGATTCATTATTCAGTTAACTTCTTATGGATTTATGGATTATTACTCTTCCCGTTTTCGCAATTCATTTGAGACAACGTTTATGTCGTTTTCTTAATGCTGCACATCGGCGTCGGTACTTCTATCAACGCAGGTTTATTGTGCATCTAATAGTTCATCTGAATTTTCACATGGTTCCAGTTTTCTCACTCATCTACCCGGAGCCAAACAAATTTAGTTTAGTTTCTGCCTCTGCTGTTTGGTATGTAGGCGGGTTATCTCATGTCCTAAATTTGGTTTCAGCATTGAAGTCCAACGTTTTCAGATTACCAACCTAAAAATGTTGCGATATATTAGTGAAAGAAATTGGCATAGCTTAATTGCTAGTCCCACAACCTCCAGGTACTAGTGGTCACCAAGTTTGAGATACTCACATAAACGGTGATTGCATCTTTCAAGTATAAGAACCAAACAGGCCAACTGAGTGAATTTTTTATTTGTATTTGCATCAGTCTAACTGAGGGGATTCTGAGTGAGTTGCACGATCATCGAAACCAACGACAGGATCGATTCTAATAGAAAAACTACAATTTAGTTAAAAATGTTGCCAAATCTCATCAATAAAACCATTTTAAACCAAAGAAGTACAAATAAATTCAGCTTTGCCTGTTTGCCGATTACGGTATTTTATTAACAAATGATTCAACTCCAGCCCAGGGGGGGAATCTTCGGGCACGCATTGTTGACGTCATGTATGCTGTTGAGAAACCGCATGCAAGGAGATTGTTATACTCTGCGAACCGGTGAAAATGACTTTTGTTCAGCCGAGCTACGAGACTACTTATTTTCGATAGCATAATTGTTTTTATCTAAATTATGTGCATCTACTCCGGAAAACAATCATATGTCACAGTCATTTAAGCGTTTTTGCATTCATTTTCTAATCAGGTGAAAGTGCGTAATCATATATATAATATATAATATATATATATATTTATATAATAGCGATAATCTATACCATTTTCTAGCAAACCAGTTAACCTTTGTGCCAGCCTCTGAGACTGCATGGGTAGTGGGAAATAACTGTAACTTTTACCTACCGTTCCCCACAAACAGTTCCACAATCTAGGAAGTTATTCATTCTAAAATTTGTCAAAAATCTGAAAACCCAATGGAAACTTAAGTTATTGAACAACGGAGTCAGTGGCTCATAATGATCTCACATAGATTAGTCATGCATTATCGGGCATAACCATTTGTTCACTTGTGAGGATGTTTTTGAGGCATTATGGACGATAGCCACGATCAAACTCCAAAGAGGGGTTTCAAGTGTTGTCAGGGGAAACGTGCGATTGATGAAGCACAACAAGCTTCAGTCACCTAAAACGAATTCTCAATCATATTAGATCATCACAACTTAGGTGCACTTCAGATGCTCCTGGCAATAAACGATTTCGATATCATCTTATACAAACTAAAAACACAAAATGGGAAACTTCTAAATGCCTAAAGAAAAATTGTAATAGTAGCATATGAGAATTGTCTTCTTTAAGTAGAAGAGGAAATAATTTCATAAGCAAAACGAAAAACAAACCCGCTGTTTGGGACTCTCTACTCGCCTTATTTTTTGAGGAACTGGAAATTATAATAAAGTGGTACAAATGCTTCTTACAATAGGATATAGCACTCAGGAACTGCAAGTTTGCTTAGCTATTACAACCAAGATAGTTTCCTGCAAATTCATTGAAATACTATGGTTTCCTCATACCCCAGCTATTTTATCGACAGATTACCGTACTGCTGATTGACTCAATCAAGAGGTGCTCAAAAATGGCTTATGTGGAAAGAGCTACCGGTTGTAATCGTCAATGTTTTTGAGAGAATAGACGTCGTTCACTTCGTTTTAGTCTGAAGATTAATTGAAAACCGTGTTACACCAAGTACCGCATTTAGCCATTATATTATATTGCCACGCAACACTTCGGTTCTTTATTTATATCACAGAGTACTTTGAGTGGATTAAGATATTTCAACAAGGAAATTCCTTCTATATATAGTGAATGAAGTCTGAACTGAAAAGCTAGTGAGAACTGCACAGCTTTTTCGATCTAGTTGGGTCTCATCAACAGACTAAACTCATCAACCCAACTGGAGATCGAACCCGGGATCTCAAAGGCAGAACGGAGAGATGCTACCTACTCGGCCACCGAGCACCTTTTCAGACCGTTTTTTTCATTTTCTACTTACCGCTCATCTTTGCGAGACTGTTTTCAACTAATTCATGGCTTCGGAGACTAGTGCTGAGAGTATTGGGGCAGGTTTCTCAAAACAAGCCAGTAGAAGGCTTATTAGCTTTACAGTTCATGCTTCATTTGCTGTACATATATATAATCGACGAATTCCGTTTTTGAAATTGAATCATATCCTCCATTACTCTCATGAGTGATAATATACTTATTGTTCTGCTCGGCATACAGATGTATCCATATAGCTTTGTGGTAGCCGAAGTTGGTTCGTGCAATCTACTGAAACTTGAAGGTTTAGGTACAAATCCATATTATATGTGCCTGTCAGTATGTTTCTAAAGAGAGAACAAGAAAGTTAATTTCATTTTTAAAAGAAATATTCGTATTCCAAACGTTGAAATACTTTTCTCATGTACAGTATGGTTGAGTTGAACACAAGAAGTTGAAAACACGAATAAGTATTATTTAAACGGATAAAAAACGACGGGTTCAATGAAGATTTCTATAGTTTGATCGACAACGAAACTTAACAAGATAATTTATTCCTCAAAAATCGATATTTCTCTT